GGCACGAGTACAAAATTAACAAGTCTTAAGCAAAACTGGAAATTAGAAGATTTTTTTCCACAGACTCGTCGTTAAGTTGCCAAAAATGGTCAATTAATTAATTCAAAACAGATCTGCAGATATATGTTGACAGGAATGGGATTAAAAGTTACAGGGATAAATATGAACAGAATTGATTAAATAACCCATGCAACATCAGTGTTCCTGAATTACTGTAGTGATGGCAGTATCGACAACAACAAATTGCATTTATATAGTGTCCTTCATTCCTGAAAGAAGGCGCTGGACATGTCCCAAGGCACTGGATGAACAAGGTTTGCACCCGAGCTGAGGGTTGCATTTGGGATGGGTGAGGGCCAAGGCGTTGGGCGTGGAGTGGGAAGATAAATGAAGGCAATGTCAAAGAGGAAGATCTTAGGATGGACCTTCAAGGAGGTGAGGGAAGCAGACAAGTTCCACAGAATGAGGGCAGATAGGCTGAAAGCCCGATCCCCTATATGGGACAGGCAGGGTAGGGAATCTGAAGCAGGCCAGTGCCTGCCGAGCGGAGGGTGCGGGTGGGTTGTTCGCATTAAAGAAAGTCGCAGAGGTAGGATAGGGTGAGATCATGGAAGGATTTAAAAGTGAAGACGAGGATCTTAAACTGAATCCTCTGCGGTGTAGAGAAGTGGAGCTGGGTGAGGATTGGGATGATAGGTTCACGGAGCCTGGTGCAGAAGAGGACATGAGATGCAGAGTTCTGAATAATCTGCAGGGAAATGTTGAGAAGTCTGGTGAGCAGGGAGTTAGCATAGTCAAGGATGGACGTGATGAAAGCATGGATTAGGGTCTCGGCAGCCTGAGGGGAGAGGTTGTAGTGGTGGTGGGCAATTTTACAGAGGTGGGGAAATCCTGAAAATATAAACTGTATTTCATCTGTTGGTGTCATGAAGGTTTGACGGTTATTCTAGAGTTGTTCCGTTCTGGACTTGATTACATTCACCAACAAAATACAGTGAATTCTGTGAAGAGTTTTGAGGCTTCTTCCCGATTCAAGAATCTTATGCAAAATTTTACCTCAGGAGATTCAATGAGTGGAATGGAGTCCTTGATAGTGAAAACGTTATATGATCTATGGAAGGATTTAATGTGAGAGGTCAAATGGGCTTTTATCATTCCATACTTTACCTGTTCATGCTTTAAGTAAAAACATTGCTCTGTTTGATAATTTTTTAAAAAATAAACAATATTTTTCACTTGTGGACAGTCGGTTCACATATATAAGGTAAATGAATGAAAGGACTTTGATTTTAGTTCACTTACAAGAAAGGTCTGGTTAACTAGCATGTTGACTTAAACAAAGATTTCACCACTTAATGTATAAATTGCTTATCTATTGCGTAAGAGAAAAAAAATTGACGAATGCTATCTATTTCAATAGCTGCTGATAGATTAAATTAATCTGTTTCAGATTTTTTTTAGTTGCTGCAAACTATAAAAAAAGCAACTGATATATGTCTCTTGCAAAAAATGCAGTTCAAAAGAATGACAGTAACTCCTGCAAGGTTTGGCAAAGATATAGACACAAACTTTTCAATGCCCTGCTAAATATCAACCTTTCATGCCTAGCATTTTACTTCAATGGGTAACATAAATGCATTAATCAAAACCAGTGAAACAAATCTGGTTCCAATTTTGTAATGTGCACGCAAGTGAAGTTTTATACAAGCAATCTTGCAAACTCACTGACAACAGCTGGAGATAGAAGATTGCTGCTTTGTAGCGGTACAATAACATCCATTACCTCACAATGTCCTCAGAAAGTTGAAATTAAGTACATACAGACAAAATGTTAATGCAAAAAGCATGGTTTCAAGCATATAACAACAATGTATGCTTATATAGCGCTTATCATGTCAGGAGACTGTCTCAAAATGCTTTAAACAGATAGAGTGAAGCCGGAGCTAGAGGGAGATAGTGGAAAGGTAGAGAAAAGCAGCTTGATTTGGGGATGAGAGGATGGTAAGGTGGGTGTTTTGAAAGAATGAAATCGAATAGGTTGAAGGACCTTCTTCATCCAAACCAATCTTGTGATCTTGTGAAGTTACCCACCCTCCCCACCATTGGCAGGAGAGCATTCAGCCACTTTGCCCCCAACCTCTGCAATTCCATTGCCCAATCGCTCCACCTCGTTCCCTCCTTACCTCCTTCAAGTCCCGCATCAAAACCCTCCTCTTCGACCCTGCCATCGGTCACCCCCCTTCCCCTCCCCAGACCCCTCCCCAGCTCAGGTCTGAAATCGATGTGAAAGGCGCTATACAAATGTAATCTTGTTGTTGTTATTGTTACCAAAGTTGCAATCAAAGCAATCGGTCGTTAGATGGGTTTTGAAAGCAGTGACGGACGGGATGAGACAAAAGGAATTAGGAAGAGGGTAAATGTGATTAAGTTTGGTGACATATTATGGATTTCCAACTATTCCTACATTCTGTTGCCACTTTTTCACACAGCAAAAGAATTTGCATTTTTATAATTGCAATATTAATTTGACATAATTACTGTAATTATTGGTTCACATTTATCAAAATTGAATGAAACAATATCTGGGTGAGTAGTCACACTTTTAGTGAGGCTCTGCCTAGATACAATATGGCACTATTTGTTCCACATGGTAGGTTGTAAGTGCAAACTGTAGTTATATGTGCTGCGTGGCTCAATTCTTAATGAACATGCGATTGCGCAAAATAAAGGTCTACTTTTTCTGAGAACGGTAAAGAACAAAATGACATTACACCTATTAAATGGTATATATAGGTTAAAGACCAACATCTGATATGTTTATATTAATTTAGAAAGTTATTGTAAATTTAAAAAGTATAAAGATAAATATGTACATACTAAATAAATGTGTCATATTATTATTATTTAGTAATCCTAAAGGTTTAATAACCCCATCACACCAGTTCTAGCCAAGCTCCACTGGCTCCTAATCACCAAACGGGTGGATTTCAAGATCCTCACACTCGTTTTCAAATCCCTTCATGCACTGCCACCTCCTTACCTCTCCGACCTGCTCACCCCCAAAGCCATAACCCACTTCCTCCACTCGATTGGCTCTGGCGTTCTGCATGTCCCTCATGCTCTCCATTCCACTATTGGTGGCTGTGCTTTCAACCACTATGCCCCGAAACTCTGGAACACTCTTCCTCTATCCCTCCAGCTTGCAACTGACTTCCCCATTTTCAAGTCATGCCTGAAGACTTTCCTATTCAACCATGTCTACGATCATCTCCCCCTCCCCCGGCTCGGCGTCAGGCTCCGCCACTATCAAGCACTCTGGCACACTACCCTGCGTGAAGGGCACTATATAAATGCAAGTTGTTGCTGCAGTACAATGCAAAATTACATTTGTATTGCGCCTTTCATGTCATGAGGACATCCCAAGGTGCTGGACAGTCAGGGATTTCGACCCAAGCTGGGGGTCAGGATCGGGGAGGGTGGAGGGCGGGGAGGGTGGGAAGGTGGTCGAATGCTCAATCGAAGAGGAGGGTTTTGGGATGTGCTTGAAGGAGGCAAAGGAGGGAGCACAGCGAAGGGAATGTGGGATGGAGTTCCATAGAATGGGGCAGAAAGGCTTTAGGCCTGACTGCCGATGGTGGGGTGGGGTGGGGTGGGGTGGGCCGGGAGGGGACCGTGGAGAAGGCCACCGCCCGCTGAGCCCCGGGAGCGGACAGGTTGATATGGGGTGAGGAGGTTGCAGTTGGCTTGTGTTTCTCTGGCTGAGTCCCTGTAGCAGCCGGGCTCCGGCGACAACACGCGTCTGAGTTAAAAGGCCGTGGGTTCAAGCTCCGCATTAGGACTTTTGAGCTCATAGGCTAAGACAGGATGGTCCAACCTTTTGACTGCCGTGGGCCGGATTCCCTATCTGAGAAAGGTCTGCGGTGGGCCCCGCCCGCCCGGCCCGGTGGGCCCCGCCCGGCCCGGTGGGCCCCGCCCGGCCCGGTGGGCCCCGCCCGGCCCGGTGGCGGCCCTCAGGCCACACCTGGCCCAGCGGTTGCCCGAGACCATTCCCAACATTCGAGCTTCCAATCCCTCCCTCCCTCCCTCCCTCGTCAGTGTGGCAGCGGCAGGCGCTGGCGGTTGGGAGGACGCAGCGTGGACGGCGGAAACAATACCGGCCGTCACTGCAGTCTGTCAGCACGGCCACCGCGTCCCCAGCAACCGCGTCAGCTCCGCTGCCGCAGACACTGATCGCCGCGCGGTGGATTGGGAGAGCGGTGGAGGAGGAAGAGGGGCAGAGAGAGGGGGAAGGGGGGGACAGAGAGGGAGGACAGAGAGGGGAAGGAGGACACTCTCTCTCCCCCACTCCTCTCTCACTCTCTCTTTTGCACAACACTCTCTCTCTCATTTACTGTCTCATCCACTTCACAGAATACGATAATATCGGAAAATGACATCACGGGATACGGCGTATAGTTTGGGACACGACATGTCAAGTGACTGCCAGGATGGTGGGAGGCGAACTGGATGGACCTTGTTGGGTCTTCCTTCGCAGCAAATTGTTATGTGATTTATTATTATTATTATTATTATTATGTCCTTGTGATTGAAACAACTGCAGTATGTTAACTGCACAGACAATACTGTGAATTGCCACAGGAGGGCACTCTAGTACAGAGATTACTTTGTTAACGTTTTTCTGTTAACGTTTTACCCGGAATTAGACAGAAGGCCCTCGAGACTCCCCCCCCCCCCCCGTGTGGGAGACGCTTATCATTGACTGTGACTGGGATTTGTCTCCAGCTCCGGCAGGGGGAGCCAGCGAGCGAGGGGCTCCGGCGTGAGGTCGTGCGTGCGCAGGCGCCGAGCGCGCGTGACGTTTCACGCCCCCCCCGCCCGGTTCAGTGTGAAGGGGGCGGCGCGCGTCTGTGTGACGTTTCGCGCAGCCTCTGGCTCGTGTGACGTTGTGCGCAGCTGGAGGCCCGGGCGCGCGCGACTTACCTCGCCTCGGCCGCGGGCTGGTGGGGTGGGGCGGGGCGGGGCCGGGCGCGCGCGGTGGCGGTTTGGCCGCGATTGTGTCACGTGAGCGGAGGCCCGAGAGGAGGGATGAAGCAGCAGGTGCCGGTGGCCGCCTTCCTGAGCAAACTGTGGAGCCTGGTGGAGGATCCCGACACCAACGAGTTCATCTGCTGGAAACAGGTAAAGGAGAGGAAGGCCGAGAGCCACACCACCGCCTCACCCCCACCCACAGACTCGTACACACCACACACACACACACACCTCAGCCCTCACACACCACACACCTCCTCTCACACCATCATCCATCATCATCATAATCCACACACACCCACACACACACACACACTCACACACACACACCCTAACATACACACACCCTAACACACACACACACTCACACACACACACTCACACACACACACACCCACACACACACCCACACACACCCTAACATACACACACCCTAACACACACACACACACACCCTAACACACACACACCCTAACACACCCACACACACCCCCACCCACACACACCCCCTAACACACACACACACACACACCCCCCACACACACACCTCAGCCCTCACACACCACACACCTCCTCTCACACCATCATTCATCATCATCATAATCCACACACACCCCCACACACACACTCACACACACACACACACACACACCCTAACACACACACTCACACTCACACACACACACCCACACACACACACACACACACACCCTAACACACACACCCACACACACCCTAACATACACACCCCCACACACACACACACCCCCACACACACACACACCCTAACATACACCCCCACACACACACACACACACCCACACACACACCTCAGCCCTCACACACCACACACCTCCTCTCACACCATCATTCATCATCATCATAATCCCCACACACCCCCACACACACACACACACACACACCCTAACATACACACCCCCCCACACACACACACCCTAACATACACACACCCCCACACACACACACACCCACACACACACACCCTAACATACACACCCCCACACACACCCTAACATACACACCCCCACACACACACCCTAACATACACACACCCCCACACACACACACACCCACACACACACACACACCCTAACATACACACACACACACTCACACACACACACACCCACACACACACACACACCCCCACACACACACACCCTAACATACACACACCCACACACACACCCTAACATACACACCCCCACACACACACACACCCTAACATACACACACCCCACACACCACACACCCACACACACACACACCCCTAACATACACACCCCCACACACACCCTAACATACACACCCCCACACACACACCCCTAACATACACACACCCCCACACACACACACACCCACACACACACACACACCCTAACATACACACACACACACTCACACACACACACACCCACACACACACACACACCCCCACACACACACACCCTAACATACACACACCCACACACACACCCTAACATACACACCCCCCCACACACACACACCCTAACATACACACACCCCCACACACACACACACACCCACACACACACACACACCCTAACATACACACACACACACACACCCTAACATACACACACTCACACACACACCCCACACACACACACCCTAACATACACACACTCACACACACCCCCACACACACACACCCTAACATACACACACCCTCTAACACACACCCCCCCACACACACACCCACACACACACACCCCCTAACACACACACCCACACACCCACACACCCTAACATACACACACACCCCCCCCACCACACACACACACCCTCTCATACACACCCCCCCACACACACACACCCCCTAACATGCACACACCCACACACACACACACACACACACACACCCTAACATACACACACCCCCACACACACACACCCTAACATACACACCCACACACACACACACACCCTAACATACACACACAACCACACACCCTAACATACACACCCCCACACACACACACGCGCATACCCCCACACCCACACACACACACCCTAACATACACACACCCCCACACACACCCTAACATACACAGACACCCTAACATACACACACCCACACACACACCCTAACATACACACCCTGACATACACACCCTTACATACACATCCCCCCCCCACACACACACCCTAACATACACACCCTAACATACACACACCCACACACGCTAACATACACACCCCCACACACCCCCACACACCCTAACATACACACATCCCACACACCCTAACATACACACATCCCACACACCCTAACATACACACACCCCCACACACCCTGACCATACACACCCCCTGACCATACACACACCCCGACCATACACACCCCCCCGACCATACACACCCCCCCGAACATTCACACACCCCCGAACATTCACACACCCCCGAACATACACACACCCCCGAACATACACACACACACCCGAACATACACACACACACCCTAACATACATCCACATACACCCTAACATATATACACACACCCTAACATACACACACACCCTAACATACACACACGCCCTAACAAACACACACCCTAACATACACACACTCCCTAACATATATACACACATACCCTAACATATATATACACACACCCTAATGTGCCCTAACATACATACACGCCCTAACATACACACACACCCTAACATATGCACACCCACCCTAACATATACACACCCACCCTAACATATACACACACACCCAAACATACACACACACCCTAACATTTACACATTGCAAGTGAGAGACCTGAGTTCAATTCCCGGCAGGGTGAAACCTTGGGCAAGTTTCCTTACTCCACACACCTAATAATAATCCCTCCAAAACCAAAAACAATAATAAATTGGTCATTTTCAATCTACGACTGTTTGTGGGACATTGCTGTGCGCAATTGGCTGCCGCGTTCGCCCACAAATATACAGTCAATTCACTTTACAGTATATTCTGTGAAGCGCTTTGGGACGTCCTCCCGACGTGAAAAGCGCTATATCAAATGCAAGGATTATTATTATTATTATTACACACACACCCTAGCATTTACACACACACCCTAACATTTACACACACACACCCTAACATATACACACACACACCCTAACATATACACACACGCACCCTCACATACACACGCACCCTCACATACACACGCACCCTCACATACACACGCACCCTCACATACACACGCACCCTCACATACACACGCACCCTCACACACACACGCACCCTAACACACACACACACCCTAACACACACACACACCCTAACACACACACACACCCTAACACGCCCTAACATACACACACACCCTAACATATACGCACGCACACCCTAACATATACACACACACCCTAACATATACACACACACCCTAACAAATACACCCACACACCCTTACATATACACACACACCCTAACATATACACACGCACACCCTATCATATACACACACACGCTAACATATACACACACACACACCCTACCATACACCCACACACATATACACCCCCCAACACACACACACACCCCCATCACACACCACTTCACACCATACATGCCTAACACATACACCTCTCACCTACAAATCTCACCCCTCACACACACTTCAGCCCTCATATGGGGAGGACATGTTTGCAGGGCTATGGGGAGAGAGCGGGGGGTGGGGTTAATTTGGATAGCTCTTTTCAAGGAGCCAGCACAAATCCGATGGGCCGAATGGCCTCCTTCTGTGCTGTATGATTCTATGATATGATATACACATCCTCACACACACCCTTACATGTACAAACCCTCACACACTCCCTCACCCCTCACATAAAAACCTTGTCATACATGATCATTCATCATGATAATAATCCTTGCCTCCATACACCCCTCACACACATACACCCCTCACACACACACATACACCCCTCACACACACACATACACCCCTCACACACACACATACACCCCTCACACACACACATACACCCCTCACACACACACATACACCCCTCACACACACATACACCCCTCACACATATACACCTCACAAATACCCCTCACCCCACCTCTCACACACATACTACCTCACGCACACAGTCTCATACATACACTCCTCACACAAACAGTCTCATACATACACCCCTCACACACACAGTCTCATACATACACTCCTCACACAAACAGTCTCATACATACACCCCTCACACACACAGTCTCATACATACACCCCTCACACACACAGTCTCATACATACACTCCTCACACACACAGTCTCATACATACACTCCTCACACACACAGTCTCATACATACACTCCTCACACACACAGTCTCATACATACACTCCTCACACACAGTCTCATACATACACTCCTCACACACACAGTCTCATACATACACTCCTCACACACACAGTCTCATACATACACTCCTCACACACACAGTCTCATACATACACTCCTCACACACACAGTCTCATACATACACTCCTCACACACACAGTCTCATACATACACTCCTCACACACACAGTCTCATACATACACTCCTCACACACACAGTCTCATACATACACTCCTCACACACACATACACATAAGTCCTGGATGAAAGCTAACTTTCGGCAGTTGAACATCAACAAGACCGAGGCTCTCCTGATTGGCTCCCGTCAGCGCCTCCTCACCTCAGCCACTGAGAGCATCACCGTCCGTGGATTCACACTCCGCCTCACCGAGTCAGTCTGGAACCTTAGCATCTTGTTTGACCATCAACTGTCCTTTCTACCCCATATTTGTGCCATGACCCGCTCTGCCTTCCCCCACCTCTGTAACATCACCCGGCTCCGTCACTGTCTCACCCCTCAGGCCGCCGCCGAAACCCTCATACCGTGCATTCATCACATCAAGGCTGTACTGCGCCAACTCCCTGCTTGTCGGCCTTCCCAACCCCTCCCTCCATAGGCTGCAGATAATCCAGAACTCTGGGGTCCATGTCCTCTCCCGCACCAAACTCCGTGATCCCCATCTCCTCCTCTCTCGCCCGACTCCATTGGCTCCCTATCCTTCAGAGGATCCAGTTCAAGATCCTGGTCCTCACCTACAAAGCCCTCCATGGCGTCGCCCCGCCCTACCTCTGCGACCTCCTTACCCCCTACCAACCAACCCACTCCCTCCACTCAGCCAGCTCTGTCCTGCTCCACGTTCCCCAACCCATCCACCCCACCATTGGCGGGAGAGCCCACAATCTCTGGAATTCCATCCCCCAGTCACTCCGCCTCGCCACCTCCTTAGCCTCCTTCAAGTCCCCCTCAAGACCCTCCTCTTCGACCATGCCATCGGCCACCCCCCTTCCCTTCCCCTTCCCTCCCCCGACCCCAGCTCGGGTCTAAAATGCTATACTCCGTCCAGCGCCTTGGGACATCTTCCAACGTGAAAGACGCTATGCAAATATAATCTTGTTGTTGTTGTATTTGAATGATATAATCGATCGGTGATTAATCAGCTCTAAAAATAAAAAACACAATATTTTCTCATTGCAAATGTGCTACTAAGATTATGGAATGAGTTTTGCATTTTTAATGTTAAATATCTTGACCATAGTGTGTAGCTTTTGAACAAAAACTCTTTACCAAATTTTTTTGTCTGATCTACAGATTTTTTAAAAAAAAGGCAGGAACGAAAACTGTACAAATAAGCACAAATGGAAAATCATACACCAAAGTTTGTCTCGTTATAAATAACAGCATATTGATTTTTCCTATTTTACATACAACTGTCCTCGCTAAAGTCAGAGAGGCTGAAGGCCCAATATATCCCCTCACAAATGCATTCACACACACACCCCTTACAAACACCCCCCTCACAAGTACTCACATCTCACACACACCATCACACATGCCCCCCACTCCCACACATACACACACTCACCCGCCCCGCTCATCTCCTCACACGTGCCCGCACACGTACCTTCACACACAACCACCCTCCGCCTCTTACATCCCCCACCCCTGCAACACCTGACGCAACTCATCACCCTTGCACCTCTCACCACAACATCCGCCAAAACCTGTGACATAGCACACCCATCCCCTACACTCATTTTTTGTGGCACGGTTTGACAGTCATACAGTGGCCTTGATGTAAATATTGCTATCCCACAAATGTTCTCCACCTATGAGCAGGGTCATTGTATAATGATCAAAAATTGAACTTTTTTTCTTCCCTTCCTAAACTGGGGGCGATTTTGCTAATTAAGAGCTTCCCAAACAAAAGCTGCATAAGCTCAAACCAGTGATTAGCTGATTAGGAATCAAAACTGATTTTTCTGGTCTGCAAGATTTAGCTACTGTTTTATATTTGGAGAGGAGTCCTGTAGCTCAGTGGTTAGAGCACTCGCTTTGCAAGCGAGAGACCTGAGTTCAATTCCAGGCAGAGGGCGAAACCTTGGGCAAGTTTCCTTACTCCACACAGAGCCTAATAATAATCCCTCCAAAACCAAAAACAATAATAAATTGGTCATTTTCAATCCACGACTGTTTGTGGGACATTGCTGTGCGCAATTGGCTGCCGCGTTCGCCCACAAATATGCAGTCAATTCACTTTACAGTGTCTTCTGTGAAGCGCTTTGGGACGTCCTCCCGACGTGAAAAGCGCTATATCAAATGCAAGGATTATTATTATTATTATTATATTTAACCTAATTAATTTGTGCTAATGTGTTAATTTCAAGGAGGTTTTGAGTACTCTTTTTTTTTCTCTTCACCACCTAGAATGGCCACAGCTTTCTCGTGCTGGATGAGCAGAGGTTTGCCAAAGAAATCTTACCCAAGTACTTCAAGCACAACAACATGGCCAGTTTTGTGCGACAGTTGAATATGTGTAAGTTTGTCCAGTCATTTTACATTATGAAACTCTACCGAGTAACACATCTGCATACAATGAACTGTGTGGAGTTACTATGAGTGAGCGAGTGCTCGAGTGAATGTTGTAAATAGAGGGCTGATTTTGTTACAAGAAAATCTACATGTGAGTAAAATTCATTACATTGCTCCGAACATTTATAGTTATGTACTTATTGGTTCCAAATCATTGATGATGCAGAACTCTGTAGGTGAATGCAGCATCCAATTTACACATGGCAATAACCCTCCCACAAATGGTCAGGAAGTAAATTACCAAGGTTGGATGATACATGAATACAAAATGTGACTGAAATCTGAATGGAATTTTTAGTGTGTAAAGAGTTGGACAGTATACTGGGAGAAACTTCCTTCTCTTTTTGAATAGTGCTATCGGATATTTAACATCCATCTGAATACGCAGACAGAACCTTGGTTTAACGTCTCAAATGAAGGATGGCATCTCTGACAATGCTGCACTATCTCAGTATGCATTGGAGTGTCAGTCTGGACTATATGAGCTTCAATCCACGACCTTCTAACTCGTGCAAGAGTGCTACCAACTGATCGCATGCGTAGATGAACAACTCTATCAGTTTGCCCTTAAAATTTCAATCACAACATGTGTGCTAACCTGTACTCATTGTTACAAAACACAATAATGCATTGCTATCTTACTAATTATTGCAACTTGTTGACAATTTAAGTTTATTTACAAACATAGCAATATTTTGTTGTATTGACACTAAATGTTGCAAATAGCGATTGTTAGAATATGATATATGTAATGAAACACTTTTAAGGCTGGGCCGCATAAAATTGTAAACGTTAAGTTGTTAATTTTGTTTATATGAATTGAAATGGCGGATAACACCATTTTGTACTCGAACCATCACTCAACATCTGTTAATAACATAAGTTGTTTTTGTCTGGTTAAGAAGAAATGGTCAACATGAACTGTTGAAGTAAGACAACCATTGGCAGGATACAAGCTGTTTTGTAGTCAATACGCCCGGTTCTTGGGATGAACAGAAGTAACAATGCGCTTGACTCCTTGCCCAGTTCGAAAGACCTACATGCCTGATAATTGATTGGATGAACAAAAAGGTATAAAGTTGAAAGGTTGTTGACATAAAGCAGTAGAATCGGCAGGGAACCAGGCACCCAGAGGCGGAGGGCCAAAACACACTGACTGCTCCAGAACCGGGTAGTATATGTTTTATGTATTCTTGCTGTGCTTATATTTGAATAAACTGAGTTAGCCACAAAACTTTATTGTCTGGTCTTTTGACTCGGACACTGGGAGTTCAGATCCCAACAAGATCTTATATGAAGATATAATAAATCTGACAATTATTTTACAGATGGTTTTCGTAAAGTACTAAATGTTGATGGAGGTGTTATCAAACAGGAGCGTGATGGACCTGTGGAATTTCAGCATCCTTATTTTAAACAAGGACAAGATGAATTACTTGAAAATATAAAACGGAAGGTGAGTTGCATCATTCAGTGCACTCCAGAACAAATTTTGCTTTCTCCTGGTCGCCTGGATTTTATCTTTAATTACATCCTTTTTTGGTTTGCATTTTTATTGCCTGCTTGTCTGTTTTTGTCTTCATATTGCTTTCCAGAGCTCTTATAGTGAATCATTTTGAAGCAAATGAAGCCCTTTCCCACAATTCATATAATGTTAGGAATAATAATCTATTCATTTGACATAGTACCTTACCGTGTCTTCGAGACGTCTCAAAGCGTTTCGCAGAATATTCTGTAAAGTGAATTGACTATATTTGGTGGGTGAAGCACAGCAGCCAATTGCGCACAGCAGTGTCCCACAAACAGTTGTGGATTGAGTGACCACGTTCTTATTTTTTTTGAAAGGATTATTACCCCCAGAAAAGCAATTCGCCAATCGACTAACAGCTGGGTTCTTATTCACTGCTAGCTAAACAGAGGGGTGTGGAGTGAGGAAACTTGGCTGATGTTTCTCATACCTGGGAGTCGAACCCAGGTCCTCTCGCTTTGCGAGGCGAGTGCTCTAACCACTGAGCTACAGGATACCAAATATTATTATTTTTTATTCTACATCTAAATACCATAAATATATACCATTCCTTTGAAGGTTTACTAAGAGGAAAGAAATCTGCACTGAGCTCCAATAGCTCACTTTAGTGAAAAGATCAAATTACTATGGACTATTTTGATATTAGTGATGGTACATGGTATCACAATACTGTACTGCTAATATATTATAACTTGCATTTATATATTGCTCCAGACATATTTTACTGAGTGTATCTTCTAGATCATTATTAGTTCCAGTTACTATAGGGAAGTCGATCTAAAAGATTCCTTTGAAGTGTTGTTGGGAGAAAGGTTGTTTACCATTGTAATGAATGATGTGACAAATGGTATCAGAAGCGACTTTCGAATGACATTAGATCTATTCCTAGGTGATTGGTGCTCAACTTGAAATCCTAATGTAAGTTTAACTTTGTAGCATATAAGAAGTATATCAAGATAATTGTTCTTGGTTCTCAAAAATGGCATTGAGAAGGATGGACTTGATATATATCTTTGAAAGCATTTCTGATAGATTTGCAGCTCTTCTGTTTGCAGATGATATTGTGTTGTTGGCGGACTCACCTGGGAATCTCGTGCACTACAGATATCATTTTAAGCACTGGGTCACTCAGTGGGACATGATGGTGCAGTGTTATGTTTGCACTGCTCAAGAGGGGACTTGAAGTTATTATTTGGAAGATACAAAGGGCATCCCTTCCGATTTGTTGATTAATATCAATATCTATGGGTTATGGCGAACAGCAACCTTTGGTTGGACATTGTCATTCTGGACCGAGCTGTGAAGGGGAGGAAGGGTCTGGCTATTTTTGTCTGTGTTTATTGGAAATAAAGTCCCCTTGAGGGTTAAGCTTGTGACATAAGATGTAGTTCCTCTTCCTAGTTCTGAATTCCTGGGCATGCAACAGAGAGGTTTCCTTCAGCCCATTTGTGAAGTCCAGTGCCATGCAGTGAGGTGACATGGTAAGGAGGATAAGGTGCTACAGGGAGGTTGACCTACATTAAACTCCCTGGAGCTGTAGTTGACTTCACAGTGAGCGTATCTATCTGTCAAACCCCCTCACACGAGCAGTTTCAACAGTTTTAAGTAGTTGGTGTATATTAAGCCCGGAATCCGGTATTGGATTTGAACCACATCAAGGTAACTGGTATGTTGCAAGCTGTCCTGTGTACGTCCCACCATACTGAATGCAGGTGTTCATCAAATACATATCTGATGAGGAAACTGAGGGTTAGGGAACAGCTGCTAGAGCATGTTGCCAGGAGGGCAGATTTATGAACACGGGTTTGTAAATCCAGGATTTGGTATCCACGTGATTGGTATGCAGATGGGTAAACAGGTGCTGCTCAAGGTTCATATTTCTAGCTGCTGGAATCATGATTCAATGGGTAGAGATGTCCGAGCTGTGGTCAGGAGAATGTTGAATTGTGCTAATCACCAGGAAGATGCGGGGAATTTCTGGTACCTGCTGTCCAACTAGTAGGAACTCAAATCTGTATTTGTAAGTTGTCAAATGAGCTACCAGTGATTTCCTTTCTGGAGAGGAACTATCCTTGCAGGTGAGCTGGGACCCAGGTGACTTGCTTGACAATGGAATGTTGGAATTGAGTTGAGCCTCTGTGGCGGTCTTACTTGTCCAGTTCCTGAGCAGTACTCCCAAGGTATTGCTGGTGACAGACCAGGCAGCCTGACTCCTCAACAGAAATTTGAGGAGCTGACTGGCCACTGGATGTTGGGATTCTTCCCACTTAACACTTCTTACCCTTACAAGGTAAAGCCCTAACATATCGGATGGACCTAGGTGGATAAACAGTGAGACGCTTGCCAGACAATGCCCTCAATAGTAAGCTATGTGGTTTTAGCTGGTTAGACTCCAGCAGTACTTCAGTGCTACCACACTCTGGGGTCTCTAAGCTTTGGATCTTGCCAACCTGGCCCCAATATTTTCTGGAAGTGCACTCATTCCTGTTTGTGGGACACTGCCATACACAATTGGATGCTGCATTTCACTTACAAAAGACAGTCAATTCACGAGTACATTCACAATTCATAGTATATTCTATGAAGCCTTTTGAGACGTCTCAACAACTTGATCAGGCGCTATATCAAATGCAAGAATTATAGATTCTAGGAAATTTAGCTGATCAAACCAAAACCACCTTGGTGTGTATTGAATAGGTGTACTTTGTAATGTAGGTGTGTTTTATTTCAGGTATCTTCAACGAAACCAGAAGAAGCTAAAATTCAGCAAGAAGGCTTAAATACAATTCTATCCAGTGTCCAAGAAATAGAAGGAAAACAGGAGAGCCTTGATACCAGATTAGCTTCATTGAAATGGTATTGTGCTGTTTTACTGTTTGATTCTTTTGTAAATGTGTGTTCTAACAAACAAACATTTTTTGTTGATAAGACAAAAGAGTCTACTTTCTTAACTTAAGCTTTCCCAGTTTTTCAGTGTTCTAGATGAAAACAGCTCATCATGAGATATTCCTCCAACTGCTTAAGTGTATAAGTGGCAATATATTGTTATACTGGGGAGAGGAGGGAGAGAAGCACATTGTCAAAGTTGCTACACTTGAGACAAGAGATATTACTCTTAAATTTCCAAAATGAATGACATTTTAGCTACAGACACCAATATGTTTCTTAATCTGAACTCCTTTATTCAGGTGTTTTAACCGTAAATCAAGAAAAATCATACAGTGGTTTACTATATATTTTCCTCTACAATGTTTGTGTGATGAGCAATTCTAACTCAAGCTTGTCCTAGTTTTATCTATGTGATTAACTACTGTATTTGGATTTTATCTTCCTGGGTATAAAATTTACTTTGAAGCTGGCAGTTTCTATATGAATTGGCATATTTTTTAGCGTATGTTATTTTAGCATACATCTGCTAGAAATAAATGGGTATAGTATTTTGAGCTACTTTCATGTAGAGAAGAAATGTTGATCAGCCATTTGTCAATTTTGAATGCAGAGGGAAGCCTTTGAATTTATGAACTTACTATAATAGAATAAAAATAATAACAATAGTGACAGTTCGGCAGTGCTAATGCTCTTATATTTCTCTTTGTACCAATAGGGAGAATGAAACACTGTGGAGAGAGATCGCAGATCTTAGACAGAAGCATGCTCAGCAACAGCAAGTAATTCGACAGGTAATAGGATTCTATAGAGAAAAAGAATATTGCTGTTATCAATGGTGAAAAATTCACTTAAGTTCCTTTGCCCTTTAAGAAAATCTTAACACATTGACCTCAATTTTTTTTGTCTTTCAGATTATTAAGTTTATTATTAGTTTGGTGCAGAATAACCAAATTGTTACCTTGAAACGGAAAAGGTATGTATGTCAGTTTCTTTACTATTGGATTTGAGTATTGATAATAATCCTAAATTTAGAGCATGATGTCAAGACATTTCAAAGTGCCTCACAGGATTCACTGTAAAGTGTAGTGACTATTATGTTGGCGGATACGGCAGCCAATTTACAAACAGTATAGTCCAACAAACAGCAATGAAGTAAATGACCAATTTTACTGAGAGATTGTTGGCCAGGACTCCAGGAGAAATTTCCTTCTCTTTTTGAATAGTACCAGAGGGTCTTTAATGTCCATCTAAACAGGCTGCCTCGGGTTAATCATCCAAAGGTCAGTTGCTCAAATAATGCAGCACTGCATTGGAATGTCAGTGTAAGCGAGATTGTATGAGCTCCAAGTGCTGCCACGGGGCTTGAACCCACAACCGTCTTGATTCTGAGGCGGGAGTGCTACCAGCTGAGCCAGACTGAGATTAATTTGGAAACATGACACAATTATGTGTAATAAATATGCTAATATTTTATTGTAAAAATCATTGTAAAAACACTAATATCTGAATTACAGACTTGATTATATTTCTGTACATTTCTGACTATTTAGGTTCATGCTCAGTTAAGATTACACTTTATTGGTCTGATTCTGTTCCCTCAAATAAATACCAAGTGCTTATTTGCAGTAACAACCCAGTCATATCTATGATGTCATTGTGTTGTTTGTTTTTAAAGCTTTAGAGCTTAGTTTGAAGTTGCAGCAAGAATAACAACAACTTGAATTTATATAGCGCCCTTAACGCGGGGTAGTGTCCTGAAGCGCCTCACAGTGGCGGAGTCTGATAATGAGCCGAGGGGGTGGGTGGTGCAAGGCGAGAGGGAGTACAGAATAAAGTACATCTCTTAAGTTTAGTTCCATTTCAACTGCCCATGCGTTGTTTAAAAATACCTTAAAGTATAGTACATGCTAGGTTGTCTTTTAAAACACCGAAAGTAATATGGTATTAAGTGTGATTTACATTCTGGAATTAATGTTAAATTTATATCACCATATCCATCAAATGTTACGAGTACTGTCCACTAAAATTCAGTGCCTTTGGTATTACTCGATTTTGATTTTTGTTCAAAGCAGTTTGGTTATTTCATTCTACAGATAGTATTGTAGTGAAACAAATGCCATTATTAATGATATTGGATATGTAGTAAGAACAGTCACAAGTTGATTTAATTGTAAATCTCGAAGAGGCTATTTCTATTCATAATATTCATAACACAATAAAAACATAGGAGGAAAGAATATTTAAAATACTAGTGTACTGTATTAGTTTGTATACCTCACTTCTAATGAACCACTCTGCAACCTAGTTTTAATGTAGTTGACCAATGTTTTGCTAGAAAAAGGATTTGCTGTCATTTTAATTTCCAGATTATTTTCTCTTAATAGCTACATTTTTCGAAGGTTAACTGTTGATTTACATGAAAACATTCAATTGCAGCCTTTGTAACTGATTGTAATGCTCTTAAGATGATACAATTTGTTTTCTGCCGTAAGCAGAATGAGACAGCTATATCTTTAGAATGAGAAATTCTAATTCTTGAAACTTTTCTAGCAAAGTTATTAATATTACAAATAAATGCCAAAATACAATAATATGTCAAATTGTAGTTATTGCTTGAAAAATCTTAATTTTAATAATAATTCCACCTTGAGAATTCAATCTGCCACTCGCATAATGCATTTAAATTATTATAATTAAATGTTAAATGATGCTGAATATCAGCAAATATACGACCATGATCATAGGTTCTCCAAATCTGTGTGCTTATCTTCTGCATCGCTGCAGTTTGTAGTCACAATCATTGAATAACATTTCATCGTATGTGCCTATGTGGAGTCCTGTAGCTCAAGTGGTTAGAGCACTCGCTTCGCAAGCGAGAGACCTGGGTTCGATTCCCAGCAGGGCCAAATGTTGGGCAAGTTTCTTACTCCACATGCCTCTGCTTACCTAGCAGTAAGCAGGAAACTGGTTGTTAATTGATTGGATTTTCCAAGGGTAATTCCTTAAAAAAAATTGATCATTTCAATCCACGACTATTTGTGGGACACTGCTGTGTGCAATTGGCTGCCGCGTTTCACCAACAAATATACAATCAATTTACTTTACAGCATTTTCTGTGAAGGGCTTTGAGATGTCTTGAAGATATGATAAGGCGCTATACCAAATGCAAGGATTATTCTTTATTATTATTATGTGCCTGTTTTCATAGATGTCTGTAAGGGATTTTGCATATAGTTTAACTTGTTTCTTTTTATTTGTAGGCCAATAATGATTAATGCCACAGGACCTTCTAAGCCAAAGTATTTTCATCACATAGTAAAAGAACCAACCAGTGCCACCCATGTAAATATGAACTTTTTACTGCTATCAGAATACTGTGCTTGATTTCTTTAATAATTTGATTGTTCAGTTGGGATTGTTCATCGAGTTTACTCCCTTCACTCACATGAAGGATGGATGTGACGTATTGTGTTCGTAATTGTCCTAATTGTATCTATGATGTAGTTGGATCAGTGTTTGAGGTTTTCATTGTCTGCAGATCTGGCCCGTAAGGCTGAGTTGTTAGCTAATGGTTTTTTAAAAAAAAGTTGCTTCCATCTTCCACATGAATGTTCTGATAGCAGACCTCCATTCACCTTGATACTTACCAGAGGGCTGTGGGCCTGTGGTACAGGTGTAGCATATTAACTATTTAAAACATGATCTGTTACTACCAAAATCAAATGTAGTTACACAACAGATCAGTGTCCCTTGGAAGGGCAAATCACAGTGGTTTTACGTGTACAAGCAGAGCGACCCTGCTCTATCTGTCAGGATACAATTCTGATTGATCATCGGTTCTGTATGCTCCATGGGGTGATACTCTTGGTTCAACATCTTTTCAGGGTGAACATTGTATTTTCAGTTGGGCAATTCAGCTGCATGAATGAAACATCCACCAAAGGTCACCCAGGACATTTTAAGGATCTCTATCAGAGGTTGTTGCTACTGTAAGATCATAGGGTTTTGTAGAACAATGTTTTTGTATACCTTTCCACCTTTGAATGTTGCATTGTTTGATGTCTTTTCCCTGGCAGAAAACCTAATAGTACAAGATACCCAACATGATGTGAAGGATCTGGACACTGAAATAATGAAGACTAGAAAAATGTAATCTTATTGAAATAGATGTTTCCATAGACCTGCCAGCAGTTTAAGGAATAAGGTATGAAGTTAGAACAGATTTTGACTTTTTAAAACATTGTTCTGTGTAGGTACCTGTGAAAGGACCCAATGGTGTGAAAGCGAGGACTAAAACCTCAGATGATGTTGTTATCTGCGATGTTACAGATGCCCCATCAGAAGACACTGAAGAGGATGAAGATTCAATATGTGCTATTAATGAGTATGGTCTGATACTCCATGTTCAGTTCTGTGTTTTAACTTCACTGTACTTAATTGTATCAATATAACATTTCCATACTGATTGTAGAAAACAAATGATGTAGTAGGTTGGTTTTCATTTATTTGGAATTTAATTGTTGGGGTGCTCAACAAAAGGGCACCATAGTAACAATCTACCAACATGACAGCAGCTAGATTTAACCACCATAGTCAGTGACCCATTATGTTATGATATCAATTACCCTTTCTTTATATGAACAAATCTACGAATGTGTTCTTGAATAGTTCCCCATAAATGTTCTATTGAATGGAAAAGGGAATGAGAGTTTTAAAGTGATGATAATTTCTGGAGGGAAAGCTTTTTTAAAATATTCTCTCAGCTACATTAAGAAATCTTCCAAAAATACATTGAATCGTTAATTGAGCCTCATAGCGTTGTGAGTACGGACCAAACTCCATACCCACATCTCAGCAGTTCTGGCCAGGCTCCCCATCACCGAATGGATCAACTTCAAGATCCTCACACTTATGTTGAAATCCCTTCTCTCTGGCACCTTCCTACCTCCATGACCTCCTCACTCTCAATCCACCACCTGGCGCCTCCTCAACTGGCACCAGCCTCCTGCTCATCTCCCCCCCGCCCCACCATCAGAGGTCGCACTTTCAGCCACTATGCCCGGAACGCTCTTTCAATCCTTCCGTCTTGCCCCCTCTCCCCTTTTTCAAGTCCCGTCTGAAAACCTTCCTCTTCGACCATGCTTACAGCCATCTCTTCCCCCCCCCCACCCCTCGGCTCGGAGTCAGGCTCCGCCACTGTAAAGTGTTTTGAGATGCTACCCTAATGGAGGGCGCTATTTATGTGCAAGTTTTTGTTGTGGTGAGCGCACTTACCTCATAAGTGAGGGAACCCAGGTTTGACTCCTGTGCAGGGCAAAATATTAGGCAAATTTCCTTACTCTACACGTTTCTGTTTACCCAGCAGTAAGTAGGAACCTGGTTGTTAGTCGATTGGTGGATTGCTTTCTAAGCATGATAGTCCTTTAGGAAATAAATTAATAAATAATAATTTGGTCACTCTGTCCTGGAGCAATTTTTGTTTTGCATGAGCTTCGGAAATCATCTGGAAGCACTCAGTATGTTGTTTGCATTACTGCATTCTTACTGATACCATTCTTTCTTGATTTGGGGTATTACTGGATTAGCCTCCAGATCAATCCAAAGTGCTCATCACTAAAAAAAATTAAATTGAGCAGCTCTGGATTGTACAATGCTCTTGTTCGTTCACAAAATACCCAATCGCTCCACTCCACTATGAAGTGTTTTGAGACAGTCTCCCAACATGAAAAGTGCTACATCAAATATAATTATTAATCTAGATAAGGGAAATACTTTGGTTGAAAAAAAGTAGATTCACTTTTTTCATTTTAAAAGCAAGTCCTGTAAGCTTTGCTTTAGAATATTAAACATACCATTCATCGAGTCTGAGTTTCAACATGACTTTCCTAAGACTTATTCTGTTCTTTATATATATATATGTATATTATATATATAAAGATATGCTCTGGGTTTTTGCATGTTTTGAGTTAAATATTTTGCATGTTTTAGTGACCTATCTGGAGCAGCAGAACAGGACAATTCTTTGTGTGAAGAGAGCGTCACAATTGAAGAACAGTTTCATCCATCACCTGAATCAATGGATGTTTGCAGTACTGACAATGTTATGAACACTATGATGAATGAAAATGGGGAAATGACCACTGAGTCGACTGTAAACTCTGAAGACCCTATCTCCATGATGGATTCAATTTTAAATGAAAATGCAGTTATTTCACAGAATATAAATCTCCTTGGAAAGTGAGTAACTGCGGAGTGTTGTGCTACATTGTTGTACAGTATTATGTATTTTGGTACCATGCTAACCATATAGAATTGATTCAGATGTAATCTAAAAGGACCAGTGGTTCAAATTTCAGCCGTTGAATGCTGGGATTAGTATTAGTTACCAATTTACATGTAGTCCCCTGCAGATGATTATTATGAGGAGGGTTCACAGAATTGAAGTTTTTCTTGTATTTCTGAACTACAATGCTATCTTTAGGCAAATCTGCTTTGGTGTTTTTGAGTAGTTTCTGGATTAAAAACACAGTTGACTCAGTGGGTTCTCTTCTAAATATATGCACTCCTCCCCCCAAAAAAAATCTTTTCTGTTTAATTCAGGAGAAGATGTAGTGGTCAATCTGGCTGTAGTTTACATTGTACTTGTGCTGCTTCTAACAATTATTGAAAATTGTCCTATAGGTCTGTTAAAATGAAGCCCATTTTTAGGCTATTTAAATTTTCCAGTTCCAAATTTTAACTGAGTCTATCTCACATGTTTGTGAATCTCTGATCCTGTCTGTCTGTTTGGTGGACATTAAAGTTCCCACGCACGATGGACTGAATGGCCTTCTTTTGTGCAGTAAATTTTTATGTTACTATTCGAAAAGAGAAGGGAGTACCACAGTCTTCCAGATAAAATTGGTCATCCACTTCATGGCTGTTTGTGGGACATTGTGTGCAAATTAGCTGCCGCATTTGCCAACAAAATACAGGCACTATTACACAGTAAAAATCCTGTGAAACTCTCAATCTATGTATACCAAATGCAAGTATTATTATACTTGAAACATGAAAACCTGTTTTATTCTTGGGAAAATCCACCTCATTGGGCAGATTGGACCTCAGTTTCATCCAAAAGCTGGCACCTCCAACAATGTAGTGCTTTCCCAGTACTGCACTGGCATGTCAGCCTAGACAATCAATTTAAACTCCCAAATTGAGGCTTGAACCCACAACCTTCTGACTTATTCCTATCAAAACACTACATAATAAACCCTGTGAACCATTTTGAAGCATCCTCCCGAAATTAAATCTACTCCATCAAATGCATTATTTTAATGTACATTAAACAATATTTTGTCTTCATGCAGGATAGAGCTTATGGACTATTTGGACAGTATCGACTGTAGTTTAGAGGATTTTCAGGCCACGTTATCGGGAAAACAATTTAACTTGGATCCAGAAACCCTATTAGATGTAAGTATTATCATAACCGTTTGAATGCGCAAATGGGAACAGTGTATTTGATGGGGTGGGGAGGGGTTTGGAATTCTATCCACATCTTGCATCCACACAAGTGGAAGTTACTGGATAAGGATAAGCTTAAAAAAAAATTTGCTAACCTAGGGAGGAAAAGCCTTCAAAACTACAACTTTCTAGATTTGTTGTGTAACTCAATTATACATTAGGCATTAGATTTATCTTTAGATTCAAGAAATTGAAACAAATTTCATCTGTTTTTCTTCTACCTCCTTAGTTTGTTTCATAACTTATAATAATAATAATTCTTTTCATATATTTTGTACAGTAACAATTTAATGTAAAATGTTTTCTCAGGTGTATAAAATAATTGATACATTTATCCACATGATGAGAATCAACATGCACAATTGAAAGGGATTTGAAAAAGCTGAATATGTGGGAAGAAAGGTTTTAGATGCACTTTAAAACAGAGAAATTTGCAGTTATGAGAATCAGCCAAAGGAAGAATTATCTGAAATATTTGCTGAATTTTAAATATATTTCAGGAGAGATCCTGGAGTTTTGATAAACTTGACTTTAGTAGTCATCCCAGGTAGTGGGATAGCTAAGGGAAGTAATGTTAATAGATCCTGAAAGAAACAGTAGAAAAAGGTAATGAGCACACATTTGATCACTCAGTTTTTAAATCCACGACTGTTTGGGATGTCCTCCCAATGTGAAAGGCGCTATGCAAATGTAATTGTGTTGTTGCTGTTGTTTGTGGGACACTGATGTGCGCACACTGATGTGCGCAATTGGCTGCTGGGTCCCATCCCCCCCTCCAATATATAGTCAATTCACTTTACAATATATTCTGTGAAGCACTTTGAGATGTCTCAATGACATGATAAGGTGCTGTATCAAATGCAAGGATTATTAAATAGATTTATTTTCTGGTCTCTACAAAATTTAAAACTGAAGTACTGTATCAACAAAACGAAATAGGAAGTATAGGAGAATTTATTGATAGTAAAACGATGATAGGCTTCGCAAAGTTAGCACGATAAGGTTAATATTTATTTAAGTAAACCGTTTTTTGTCTTTCTCCAATGTTAGGTATCTGGAAGTAAAGACAACCACATTGGAACAGAATCTAAAGTGGTTGAAAACAAGTCTTCAGATACTGGTTAGTGTCTTTGTACAGCTGGGAAAAAAATAGAATCTTAGAAATTTGCAGTACAGAAAAAGCCCATTCACCCATTTCCTCTGTGCTAGCTCTTTTAAAAAGCAGTCCTTTCAGTACCATCAACCTGCCCTTTGCCCCATACCCACAAATAGCAGTTATATGGACGTCTTGTGAATTGATCCTGGTGATAACTGAGAACAGAGAAAGAGAAGAATTTGTCTTGTGTTCCCCTTGAGCACATTAGATTTTTCCTAATTCTTTTAACCATCTAGTACAATTCTCACATCTTCAGGATGTTTCAAACAACAAAATCAATGCAAAATCCAATTTGTGTCTAGTACAGTCCATACCAGCTTTGCTGCATCGTAAATCTACTTATGTAAATAAGACTAAAAGCTCTCCCAAATTACTAGGATTTTAAACAGTTACTGGTCAAGGAACAAGTTCAAAGCTAATCATTTTCCCATTGTTTTTGATGAGTTAGGAGAGGGGTAACCTCCTAACTCACCAAAATGATTTCATATCCTTTGGCCTGTCGGTAGCTGTATGATTTTAACAGTCGTGAGATAGGAAGCTGCTTGGATTCTTGCAGCAGAGCTGAGATCTGGAATTGAACAGAATGGAGATGATAGTGGACATATCCATCTCATTCCATGCCCAATTTCTTTGGTGTTTCAAGACTGCTGTTGTGTTTTTTTGAACTATTTTTGATAGTGCCTGGATGGCTGAGAAAATATTTTCAGAGTGCTTTCAAACATTTTCTCTTCCCCTTCTATTAGATTTAACAGGTTTACATTTGAAAGATTGTTTCTGTTTCTTTTCCTCAAATCTACTCTCCCTTTTCCCTCTCCAGACTCATAATGTTTGCATTGTGTGGTTTATTTGCAGGTAAACAACTAATGCAGTACAATTCCTATCCTGTGTTAGCTTTCTTAGATGGGAGCACCTCACCTACTTTGGAAAAAGAACACACTGTATCTGCCCATATGGGCACATACGATGACAATCTTGTGGAAAGAAATGAGTTGGTTGAAGAGGAAATTGAGAAAAAAACAACCAGTCAGCTATTTAAATTAGAACCTCTGACAGAAGAAGAGGCTAGTGAAGAAACATTGTTTTATTTGTGTGAACTAGTTCCTTCAAACACTCTAGATGGTGAAAGTTCTTTATTGGACAGTTAGCTGTTAAATTAACAAAGGTTCTTGCCTTCTATGTCGTGTACAGATTATACATGGTATCTAACTTGTGTTTTTTTAATTAACTTAAAACTTGAATATTTAATTTATATTGTAAAATTTATTTGTTTGGTGTCTCATACTTTTTGTTGTAAATATGTTGCATTTGCTTTCTTTTGAAGATATGCAAAGCATTTTATCTTCTGTATTTTCTGAAAATTCTATTGGAAATGCAGATTTGTTTATGTAACTTTGTAACTTCATCAAGTGACTTTTGTGCAATTGATGTCACAAGTTCATTGTTTTTATTACTAATGGCCTCTTCACTTTTTCAGTCAGATCATTCTGAAGTGAATGCATCAACTTACAAATTAGAATGAGTTTCCAGCAAGAACTACATTGTACAAAATACCTTAGTAAGGGGAGGAAATGCAGGTATTATTCATGTCGATAGAATCCCCAAACAAGCTTGGAACTGCATACATTAATGAACATGTTGCTCATGTTCTATTACTTGTGAAACTAAAGCATAAGGTGGCATTGAAATAGAAGAGGTTGAATATTCTGTCCTTTAGAGCTGTTTGTATTCGTCTACTATGTTTTGTACAAATCTAGGGACAATGCTCAGCTGTCCTTGAAATGGAAGTAGGATATCTGTACTTTGAATAACTAAAAAACATGAATATTCTCAATCTCAAACCATTGTAATGTTTTCCAGCTTCAAAGATTGTGATACTGTGAATTAAAGGGTAAGGAAGTTGTAGGGGGAGTATATTTGTCGAAGTACATGCAGTATTTATTTTATTTATGTACAGCCTCTCAGTCATGTGGGACTTTGTTTCCTTCATTTCTCAGGTGCTCCATGTTTAAAGGCTAGAGCAGCTGCATTCATTGCAATAGGAGCTAGCACTTTGGACCAGCCTGCCAATTGATCCAGAGCCCTGATAAACAACTTGCTGGAAAGTACCAGTATCCAGCCAACTGGAGATTTTGAATGTTAGGGGTTTGAAGTGCTGGTTTCTATTGCATTGGGATGCATGTAATATTCCCATGACATGTCAGGGAGTGCCTGAGGATGGAAGGAGATTTAAAATGGTCAATGAGGATATTTGATGTTTGGTAATATACAGTACATCTTTTTAAAAAAATTAGCAGATAAGGGTATGCTTCAATAAAGTATTCTCCTAAACCTCCTTCCCCCTTTAAGAAATCTAATTCCAACCTCTATAATTTTAAGGGGAAGGGGGAAAGTGCCTGTATGCTATTTAATGTTGCCCAAAATGTTGACATGCACTGAGGACCAAAATGTGTAATCTGACTTTATTTTGGTTTTATGTGTATATGCGGTTATCTGTATCTAACTTGTCTCTTTTTTATTCACAATAAAATGTGATTATTTTGATGCTTATCTTAGTGCAGTACAAGAGGATAGTGCTCTTATATTTTGTAAATTGCATCCGCACCATGAATTAAGAGGTTACTGGGATAACGTTTTTGGGATGTAATACTATCACATTTGCTATAATAGAATTAACATCTTCTTGGTTAAGGCTGCATTATAAATATATATAATAATAATGTTCTTTTAATCAAAGTACAATCATCTTGAACAAGTGAAAATAAACCACTTGGGCACTAAATTTGACAGCAATGGGCATCATGCTGATCACAGGGTCTTTTTAGTTGTTGCTTATATTTGTATGGATCTCACTTTGTTTTTACCAAAACTAGAGAAATTTGTTTCAACACTCTTTTCATTTTAAAAAATCTGGTCCTTGACAATTGGTTTTCTTCCCTGAAAGGAAGGAGAAAATGCCATTTATAGTATGTAAAATGAACATCTGGAAGCCCTTCACACAGAAACTGATGAAGTTACCCAGAACTATTGGTTTCCTAACCTAAGCTTTTTGAAAGTTACTGGGAACTAACCATCTTGAGCAACGGTTACATCACCAGCACAAAGCTTTTTAATCTGCATTTGAACCATGTCTATAATTAAAAATTCTATTAAGTTGATAAACAGCTTTGGAATAATTATTAAAAACACTTGATTGATAGGCACTAGCAACTGAGTTATTGGAGGATCTGATGCAGAACCTAATGGTTTGAACATATGCAAGATGCAGATGTGCAAAACCCCTACATTCAGAAAATATTTATTACAGCTTTTAATATCTAAATTATATAAATCATCTTCATTGTATCTATGTATAATTAATATATATCAAATGCAAGGATTATTATTATTGTGTTCAATAGTTTTCATTCTCTCCAATAATCCTTGCATGAAGGACAATATATATTCCACCCATCACATCTCAAGCACTTCACAAGATTTAAAGTGTAGTGACTAGGTGAACGCTGCAGGCAGTTTGCACACAGCCATGAAGTGAATAATCAGTTTTATCTGGAGTAGTGATCACCAGTTCTCGGCTGAATTTCCTTCACGTTTGTAGGGAAGGTAAGGATGTATATCAAATCACTACATCTCACAATATAACTAGATTTACTTATGGCCATTTCTCAATCTTCTTTTCCCATTCATATCCATATTATATAGTGAACCAGACATCCACATCTTAGCAGCTGCTTTGGGTTCTAGTGAATTTTTGCAGTTTCCAGGCCCACCCACCCCAATATTTCCAAATGCTTATTTTACAGATTTCATTAAAATTAGCTACATCAGTGCCCTGTATTAACTCACTTTTGGGCGGTTCAGGGAACAAAGCACTAAACAGTAGCTGAACTCCCACATAACCTAGAGATGAAGCTCAGATCTGACAATTAAGTGAACTTAATTATTTTGTTTTCTACTCTATTCATAATAGTAGCAGGAAAACTAATACAGTATACATTCATATTTGGAGAGCTGTGAAAGCCTCCCAAATTTAGAGTCCTGTAGCTCAGTGGTTATAGCACTTGACAAGCAGGGTTAAATGTTGGGCAAATTTCCTTACTCCACACAGGTCTGTTTACCTAGCAGTAAGTAGGAACCCAGTTGTTATTCGATTGGCAGATCGCTTCTCTGGGGGTAATAACCATCAAAAGAAAATTGTTCACCCAATCCACGACTGTTTGTGGGCCACTGCTGTCCGCAATTCGCTGCTGCATTTTGCCCACAAAATATACAGTCAATTCACTTTACAGTATATTCTGTGAAGCACTTTGAGAGGTCTCGAAGATGTGATAAGGCGCTATATCAAACTACATCAAATCATTATTATAAATCTGAACCGTAATATTTTATTTGACCTAAACAGGCCCATAATAAACTAACCATTTAATGTGACTGATCAAAACAAAAAATGAAACTCTTTTTGTGTGCACTTCCAGGAGGGGATCACCGGACAGTGATTGGGAGCAATCTGTTAACCTGTAAGTGATAAAGGACCGGGGACTTGCAATCATCTAATCTCTGTGACTCAGGACCTGGCCTTCAATCACTTGGGTCATCAGATTTGGTCGAAGAAAAAGTTGACATTTTCGGAATCAGATCATCGATGCATTTTGGGACCAGAACAATAAAATAAGATCCTCCAGTTCAACATTAAAAATACTAAATGCAAAGCTAATAGAGCAAGAATAAATTATAAAATGCTGTAAAAATAAAATTAAATCATGGTGTATGCAGAAAGAACAAAAATACCACCTTGGAGCGCTACCGTAGAAATTTAGGATCACATTTCTTAGCATTAAAAAAACAATTGCAGTAATGATAATTTGTAGACAGTTAAACAAGCAGTGAAATCAACATCAGTTAAGTATGACCATGACCATAAAAATGTTAAATCTTAACAGAAAAAGTGAAGCAGAGCCATCCCAATTTATCTTGTTAAGTAGTTGAGATAAGACACTTTGGAAAATAAGCCATCCAATTATTTTTGCTCTGCAAAGATTTATTTGCCAATGGTTACAATACACTTCAAACAGCGTCATTTGTAAATGCCCCATAAATGAACGCAATATTAATGCAAAACATTCTCATCACAATACATAATTAAATCGCAATCTTTCCTATGTCAGTATTTCAAAGTGTCTGGTGCGTACGAGCAGTATCTTGTACTGGGGGTTTAGATCTTTTAAAGAAAGAAAATTGTCAAATATTGTTGTGCTCAGTGACTAATAGCTCCTTTTCCCCTTTCTTTAGTGATAACCTGAAATGTACTCACTTAACTAACGAAAATACAAAATACGTATTGCAATACGAAAATTAAGAAAAACTTAGGTGATTTAAATTCACTTCTCACGACCTAAACTGAAAGACTTTTAAATTAGTGTTTAAAATAGAGCAGAACTTGGATCGTGATTCCTTAAAAATTAAAACAAGAATTTTTTGCACCAATATCAAAAGGTTAGGCATGGATTAAACATTGAGGCTTTCTTATAATCCAACAATACTGCGCCTGAAACCAGACGTAATCTTGGGAAAGACTTCACTTTGCAATAATTATGACTCACCTCACCATAATTTCTAATATAATTATGAAGGTTACTGTGCTGCACTTCATGGAGTGGTTCAAAACTACCACAATGCACATCCCTAAAACTAAATGCAACAATCCTGAAGCACAAAGCTCACTGTCAACATTGAGTTACTACAATTGAATATCAATAATTCAGAAATAAACTGTTACAGCAAGTAATAAAGAATAGGAATAACTCAATTCACAGAACTAAAGCTCGTTTAAAAAAAAACTACCAATGTAGACAATGGAAACCCATTGATAAATTCACTGAAATAAATGTTGTTGCACACCAAGAATTAGCATCTGACAAAAAGCAGGACATAAATCAGTTTAGGAAGATACTCTCTCCTCCAATGTGTCCCAGTTTTGACCTCTAAAGAGCACTCAACTACACACTATTGTTAATGTTTCTCATTTTCCACATTAGCCTTTGAGCCAGTGTCAATTTACTGCCAATTTAAGGAGAGTTGTTTACTGTAAGCTATCACCCACTTGGAACTTGGATGAGACGATTCATTTTTATTCTGAGATGCAGTGACCTCTGAATGCATGCCAAATAGGTTGACGTATATTAGTTCTGTTCCAGAATAAGGATGGAGTTCAAGAATAAATTGCAATAGTTCAATAACATTGCTTTTTAGTCATTTTCACAGCTACTATATCTCACTTCAATCATGCTATATTAATCAAGTTAACAAACAAAATCTACCACAAGGTAGCACACAGATATTTATAGCATATATAATCACTTTCAAATACTGCCTTAAATATGAAATCTAGTCACAAGAACAAACTAAACAATATGCTGCAATAGCAGAAAATGACACGCTTTTCAATTCAGTCTCTTCAGTCAAAGTCACGGTTTGTGAGAACAAGTGGAGCAACCAGGGTCCACACATAGAGCACGATGCAAATCCAGCTGGAGGAAATCTTCACCCAAACCGAAGGCCATTTGCTTGTCATCATTTCATATGAAGAGTCAGGACTGCAAAAGAAGAAAGAGTCAGCCAAAATACAGTACAGTTTTATAAAATTTGGAATATTGTGTGTAGTTTTGGGTACCAAACCTTAGGAAGCATATACTGGCCATAAGAGTGTTCCAATGTTCCTATATCTATTGTTCAGTATTTAGTGGGTTAATATTCACAATTACTTAGTTCAGCGTTGTCAAACCATGGAGCCAAGAGCAGCTCACAAAGGGTCTCAATCTGGTTCACAGCCACCTTGGCTTCAGCAGAAAGCATGTGTCTCAGATAATTCTCCCTGACAATTTGCTTACGGAGACATGTTCATGGCTATTTAAACACATTGTAAGTGTGCAACAACATGTTCTCTAATCGGCCTTCTCAAATGAAAGTCAACTAAAATAATACCTGTCTGAGTAAAATAAAATTGCGGCAAAACTCTTTTCAGTATTCAAATTGACATTTGTGACTTGACATTTTCTGTGATCACTTTCAAAGGGAAATACAAATCTCTCCTGACAAACAAATGTTTGATGCCAGAACTGCGCTGTGCGGTCGTGCAATAGCTTTCACTGAATATTCACTGCTTAAAGATTTTAATGTATTTTAATTACTTGATTTTGCAGACTAGTGCATTGAAGTTTTAAAAAAAAATTCAGTTCATACCTGAAATATATTTTGCTTGAATAGAAAGCAATACACAGCTGCCCAGGATTAACAAAACCTGGGACTGACAGCACTTTGAAATGCATGAATTTACAATCAAATCTGTAATGTGTGTGTAACAGACTAGTAGGTTTTGCTGGATAATTTCTACTTAAAATCTTTTGCATACCTGTACCAGTTGGTTAGAGTCATCATGATGTACAGGGATGCCAGAAAGAGCATGAAGTGAAAGAAGGAGTAGCTGTAGGTAACACCATCTTTCTCGTTGTCTTCTGCATGATGTGCCTGGTTCCCATCCTCCAAGGAACCCTCCGAGCGAGCAGTTGTTTCCTCAATCAGTGTGGACTCGTCGCTAGTTATGGTCAGCTTGTTCACCTGGCTGTTGGTAGATGTCCGGATGCTGTGGGAAAATGTAAATGTTTAATGTCAACACACTGGATCAGAAAAAGCATCAAATATAATTATTTTTACAATGGATTGCAGAATGCCTCAATAACAATCCCTGCAATTCCCTCCATTCACACCACAGATGGCTCATCTTATAGTATTTCTCAATCATACCATTTGTGAGGTTTTAAGAAACCAATGACTTTTGTCTAGGTGGCAGCCTGGCTCAGTAAGGAGTACTCTCGCCTCTGTGTCTAAGGAGTACTCTCGCCTCTGTGTCAGAAGCTCGTGGATTTAAGTGTCCCATTGGCAACTAAAAGCTCATGGTCTAGGCCAGGGTGGTCCAACCTTTTAGTTGCAGAGGGCTAGATGCCCCATTTGAGAAACGTCCTCAGGCCACATAAGCAATATTTTGTGTTTCCCTTCCATTTACGGGTTATAGCAGCAGCGTGTGGGCTAGATGAACTGGAGGGAACAGATGAAATTGGCCCTCGGGCTGCTGGTTTGACCTCCCTGGTCTTGGCTGATACTCCAGTTCAATGCTGGAGCTGCACTGCACTATCAGAGTGCAGTGCAGCTATCAGTCTTTTAGATGAGACATTATATCAAAGTCTCATCTACCTGTTCAGGAATCCATGACAGTTTTCGGAAAGAGAAGGGAGTTGATCCTACCATCCTGGCCAACACTCAGCCAGATAAAATTGATCACACACTTCACAGCTGCTTATTAGATCCTGCTATACACACATTAGCTGCCTCATTTGCCCACAAATTCACACTCAGGTACACATAACATAAAACTTAGTGCTTTGAAAAGTTTTGATCTGATAAAGTGCTAGATTATCCCCCCACCACCCAGAGAGGATGCCCAGCCAACTGTTTCAGGCAGTTTGAGACATGCTCCCAATGTGAAAGGCACTATATGAATGTAAACTGCACTGTACATCAAATGCAATTCATTTATTATTAATAATAACATGAAGAAATTCTGTCAAAGTGAAAAGTACCATATCTGGTGTGATCATTTATCACTGGTGATAATTATTATAATATGGGACATTCTATTGCCGGAGATGTCCCAGTCTGTCACACCCACAGAGTAATAAACTTCCTCATTTTATTAAAATAGTTTTGGTCAACAGAAGGGATTCCAGCATTGCAGTGCCACATTAAGAAACACGGGCACTAGGACCTCAGTGGCAGCAGGGTAAAAAGTGACACTGTGAGAAAATATCTAAGTGACAAAATTTCTTTTGTTAAAACCATTTTAACAAAGTACCTTGTGGTATTTATCAATCAGGACACATCTATGAACAGAATGTTCCACATTGTAATAATTACCTATTTTGACTCCCATTATATGAACTGCGATGTTGTTCCAGTGACCTTACACTTCAAAATAACTTTACCAGGTCATATCATCTGTCTAACAAATCAGGCAAGCTTTTAAATAGATGGAAATCACTAACAAAAAACTTCCTAAATATTTGTACAGGATACAAATATTGCATGGAGATTAAAATACAAAATAAAAAAATATACATATACAGCCCTGCAGTCACACTGTGGAAAACCACTTGGGTAGAAATGTTTAATTAATCAGATGAGGGCTTCCAAAGTTAGCTTGTGCTGAAAGTTCTTGCTCAAAATAACATTTGAGTCAAGGTTTGCTTGCTTGCAAAAAAACAATTCCCGTTCAAATGAAATTATGAAGCATATGGAATAACCGGAAATAAAGTGAGAGTCCAGGACATAGATTTGTTCACTACTGACCTTGAATAAAGAACACAGAGCAGAAACAGGATCAGCCCCACAATTCCTTGTGCATCCCACCACTGGACCACTTGACCTGGCACAGGAGTTCCCGTGTTGTTGTATCCAATCATGCCGAGCAAACTGGGGTTGCATTTCCTGTCTGTATCAAATTAGACATTGATTGTTCTCAGTATCAGCAATGGCTTCCAACACCCTCACAATTATTTTATCCAATAAACGCTTATGTAGCATTTTTTTAGCATCATACCGGTGGTACAAGTTACAGCTACCCTCTATTAAAAAAAAAATTATTTCCTATACGCTGTACTGATACAAATATTTACTATCAAGTATTGATTTACTGCAAACTTGGGAATCAATACATTAGGTTATAGAATGAGGAAGAGAAGGAATAATCTGCAAAAAGATATGATGTTCTAATGCACTATAAAGACAAACTATTAAATTGTCATTGCATGCTGTAAAACAGCCTATCGAAGGAAGATCCCAGATTTGATCCCTGCTCTATGATAAGTTAGCTGATCTCAGGTTACACTATTCTGTTAGCCTCAGTGCTCCGGGATAGGGAGGAAATTCAGCCTAGAGTCTTTCTCACAATTTCTTGATCACAATTCAGTGATCTGTCTGGAAAGGAAACAAGATGTGAGGCGCAGGACCAGTCAGATCCAAATATTTACTATCATGAGGTATATTAAAAATGTACATTTTAAAAGAATAAGGGATATAGCTGGATCAATTATGCCCACAATTCCTTTAAGGTCTTTTTCTGTTGACATGATTCAACGGTACGGATGATATTAACTTGCTTTGACATTTTCTAATGCTGTTAACTCTCTCAGTATGAAAAACAAATTTCAACACCAAATCAAGTTGATTATGAGGCAATTCATCAGTGGAAGTTTTTTCCTTTTCTTTTCTCTTAACATATCACAAAGAAGTATAACAATCACAGAAATGAAATATGGGAGCAAGTTAGCATGTCGGTAAATGGATAGTAGCCACAATGACAATAGTAGTTAAAAATAGAATTCCTTTAAAATACTGGACCAAACATCACTTTTTTATAATAGTTAACATTACAACACATTCACTGTGACCCAAAAATAAGCTAACAAACAAATTTAGGACCCAACTTCATACCAAGTGAAGATAAAAGTACCTGGTTCATTGGTCATTGCAGACCATGTCAAATACATGGTGTACAGGGTGATGATGGAGGATTGCAGCAAACCAGATCGGGGCTGAGATCCTGTAATCGCATCACCAAGCCATTAGCAGACAATATATTACACACAGGCTGCTTAATTTATGGCAACTGTTCTCATAGTGAACTTACATTCACTGATGGCATTAGAATTTATAAACCCCTTTATAATCAGCTTTAGTGCCACAACAGGCACACAGTAATCTGCCTCTCTTAGACAAACATTAGCAAACTGGACAATGAACTCTGGACATCTAATACCCACATCTCAATTCACCATTCACTTACAAGATTTAACAAAGCCCTACATTTAAAGATGCTGTTACCAAGCTCAGTTATATTTGGTTATTAAATTATCTATCTGGTTAGAATTCTATCAAATATCCAGCAATCATTCTCTTTACTATTTACATAGTTGCTTACAAAGAGTGATACAGCATGGAAACAGGCCATTTAGACTTAACTAGTTTGAGCCGATGTTGAAACTCCACACCCCCACCCCTCCTATTCCTCTCATCTATATCGCTCTATTCCTTGTGTGAGAAAGTAGTCTATTATAATGGAACAAGAACACCTTGCAGGTAGTAGTTAAAAGCGAGTCACTGTTGTCAATTTCCAGACTGAGATTCAGCCTCTTTATGCTGCTATATCATACCTGGATCTTGGGTAGGATTGACATGATAGAAGAAGCAATGCACAGTAACATGTTTAAGCTGATAAAGACTTTGTTTTCAGTGCAACCCTCAGGGTGTGTATAATAACAGTAGAAGAGGACGACAGCAACCAGCGATAACACGTAGTTCATTCCTGTTGCTGACAACAGTGCTGTAAGAAAGTATGCACACATTGAAAGCCACTGCCTTACATGGTTTTTATTTCTAAAACGCATGTATGTTTAGCTAATTATGCTTTTCATGCCTCTAATACAGACATTAGTTTTACAGCAAACACATTTGTATACTAGATAAATGGGAAAGGAAAAAAACATGCGCACAGTTGGTCTGAAAATAAAACAGGAGTACAAAGCTATTGCCATCCCAGAGGATGCCTGCAGCTGGCATCAGGACAGTTCAGGACAAGCTAGAACAATTACCAATTATCAAGAGCTTGCTTTTCTTCTCTACCTGTGGGTGCTAACTACTGCACATCAGAATGATTAGGAGCCCGGCAATTTCCTTCTCCTTTAACTAAAAAATTCACTGAAATCTTCTTCACCCGTGTACCAGCACACCCCCTCACCTGCATACCAGCGCGCTCCCTCACCTGTGTACCAGCGCGCTTCCTCACCTGTGTACCAGCACGCTCCCTCACCTGCGTACCAGCGCGCTCCCTCACCTGCGTACCAGCACGCTCCCTCACCTGCGTACCAGCACGCTCCCTCACCTGCGTACCAGCACGCTCCCTCACCTGCGTACCAGCGCGCTCCCTCACCTGCGTACCAGCGCGCTCCCTCACCTGCATACCAGCGCGCTCCCTCACCTGCGTACCAGCACGCTCCCTCACCTGCGTACCAGCACCTAGAGTTGCCTTCCTCCATCTTTTCGACCCAGGATTCATTCCATGAGTGGGCAAAGTCAATCAACAGCACCAGTTGGATCAAAATGAAACAGAAGGCGCCAGCCATCCCAACATAGAACAAGACTGGAAAAAACGAGGAATAAAACAAAATCTTAAATGTTATCAACTTAAACATTGAAACATCTCAAAGCATGTTACAGGTAAATGCTGTTAAATGTAGTAACTAATATTCTTCGGAATCAGCATAGACTATGAGTTCCAAGTGAACAGATTATATGCAATAAATGGGTCCAACCGCATTGTAGATAATTGGCCATCGCACAAAATACAAATTGGCTACTGCTACAACTAAAAGTTGTTTCACAGGAGTTATACCTGTTCTGTTACTGTAATGTTTCACTGTGTCAACCCTTCTATCTCTCCCTGTCTCCCAACCTGCCTGTTTGTTATATCTCTCATGTGTCAATGCTCCTCCAACACTTTATTAGAGTGTCAGCCTAGACTGTAAACTCTTGATCCCACAACCGTCTTGACACACGAATGCTACAAACTGAACCAAGTTGGCAGAATGGGATTGACATGGTTACTTATAACTCTTAGAAGACTTCCTTCTCGTTTGTCTTGGCTGATGGAACCCATTTACTCAATATTCTAACCATCATAACACCCAATCCCCAAATCAACAGCTAATTCTGATTTAATAGTCTACTTTCTACCACACTGCTACACTAACATAATTTAGGATATATTCTACTGTAATTTTGTTCAGATTTACTCCAGCAAGATAACAAGTAAAACGCTTACTAATAAGCAGTGTTCAAAAATAATAAATAATAATCCTTGTATTTGATATAGCGCTTTTCGCGTCTTCTAGACGTCTCAAAAGCGCTTCACAGAATATGCTGTAAAGTGAATTGACTGTATATTTGTGGGCGAAAAGCGGCAGCCAATTGCGCACAACAGTGTCCCACAAACAGTTGTGGATTGAAAATGACCAATTTATTATTGTTTTGCTTTGAAGGGATTATTATTAGGCGTGTGGAGTAAGGAAACTTGGCCAAGGTTTCACCCTGCCTGGAATTGAACCCAGGTGTCTCACTTGCAAGGCGAGTGCTCCAACCACTGAGTTGCAGGACTCCAGAAAATCCTTCAAGAGTAGTGTTAACCAGCTATGCTACTGATGTATTCACACAAACCTGTTGTAAAGGGTCCTTCAGGAATGAAGAAAGCTCCCACTGTGATGGCAACCATAGTAATAAACTTGAAAAACCAGAACCTAGAAGAAACAGAACTGGTCAATCATTATTGACAACAGGTCATTTTAAAATACGAGAGCCCATTGCTAAACCCATTACCAAGCATGAAACCAAATCTTACTGGTGAACTGGATAAAAAATTAAATTTGAAGAGTGATATAAATGAGGAAAGAACAATGAATTGAGACCAGAGACTAGCTCAAGTGAAGGAGTTTACACCAGGATAATCTTAATGTGCGAAATGGCCTCCTCCTATGCTGTAGCTTCTCGTGTTGGAAGGATTATTATGGTTCTATTTGTTATAGCGCCTTTGACATTGGAGGGATGTCCCAAAGTGATACACAGATTATGCTGTAAAGTACAATGACTGTGTATTGTGGCAGCCAATTTGCATGCAGCAATGTCCCAACAAACAGCCATGAAGCAAGTGATCAATTTTATTTGGGGAATGTTGGCCAGGACACGGGGAGAAACTCCCTTTCTTTTTGAATAATGTCGTTGAATCTTAAAAGTCCACTTGGATACGCAGACGGAGCTCGGTTTTAACATTTTTTGTAACAACAGAAGGGAAAACTTTTTGGTTAAGTATTAAAAAGCCATTGTATTGTAAAGATATTATTGCTGAAGACTTAATGGCTGGACAGTCATATCCCCAATACTTTCCAGTCCTGCATTCAGCAGTCAGTTTAGAAAAAAAAGGAAAGTGTTGTGCGCTTTACCCATTATGTACTGCGGCTCGTGGATCTGGCTGCTCTTCACTTTTATCATCAATAAGGAGAAGAGGAGAAAGAACATGGCCATGCCAAAGCAAACCCGGTACACAGCCTTATATCCAACCAGCACATCACAGTTCACCTGACCGTGGATGCCAGGAATGGAGGTGCCCATTCCTCCATCGCAAAATCCCGGGATCTTCGGGAGGAGGAAAAGAAGACGTTTTAGTCACTTTTTTACAAAAAAATTAATAAACGGTATTTTCAAACTATATTCAAAGCAGAAGTAATTAAAATGAAGCATTTTGAAATATAACGCACAATTCTGATTTGAAAACAATTTTGCATTCGAAAAGGCTGACTATCCTGCAGGTTAGATGACCAATCATTCTTCAAATCTCCTGGAACTTAATATTTTATATTTTAAGCGTATAATGAGTACTGCAGTTACCCTTATACTTAATACCGAGGCATTCATTGAAGCTCAAGAACATTAACAATAATTGAATTGTTTCAAGCAAAAGAACAACATGCATGCCTTCAGTAGACATAGATTTTGTTTGATCAACAGCATTCTGAGGTTGCAACATTGCTATCTGATTGAGTATATCTGGCCTGCCAAAAGGCCTTTTGTTAAAATACTAAATAAACCTCACTACAAAAACACAGGTGGAAGCCACTGTCTATAGATAACTAACCTTCTTAAGCTGCTCTTCCATTCCTGGCATTAACATAATACAAGCCACCCCTACTCCCAGCAGGAGGAAAAAGGCGAAGATCAAACGAGTCACCGTAGAATTTTTTCCACTTGGGCAGCATCCAGACAGCAGGCATGGTGCACTGCCACATAAACATGGCACCTGGGAAAAGGGAGCAAGAGCCAATAAACACTGTGCCTTAGCACAATAGCAATAATAAAATAATCCTTGCATCTGATATAGCACCTTTCATGTCACCAAGATGTCTCAAAGCACTTAACAGGATACACTGTAAAATGGTTTTGACTGTATTTTGTGAGTGAAATGCGGCAGCGAATTGTGCACTGCATTGGCCCACAAACAGCCAGGGAGTGAGTGACTATTTGAAAAAATATATTTGGGGGATTGTTGCCCACGACACCAGGAGAAACTTTCTTTTTGAATAGTGCCATGGAATCTTTAACGTCAAGTTGAATAGGCAGATGAGACCTCGGGCTAATATCTCAACCAAAAGGCGGCACCTCCGACAATGCAACTTACCTCCAGCCTGCACTGGAGTGTCATCTTAAGACTATATTTCCAAATCTCGACGTGGGGCTTGAATCCATAACCTCTGACTCAAAGGCGAGAATGCCACCACTGTGCCAGGCTGACAGAATCGAATATTAAGAAATACTGTAGCATGTCAGAGCAAAGACTGAAAAATATTGGAAATGCACAACATGCAAACCAAAACGTTGCAAGGCTACTCCGGCAGCATTTGGAAGAGGAAAACAGGTCTATATTTGTCCACCAGTTCACCTGAAACCTTAACCGGATCAAATTACTGCACTTTTGTTGTATATTTCCTTTATTTCACATTCGCAGCATTCTCCATGTTTGTTCACCTCAACACTTAATTTAATCTAAACAGATTTTGATGGTCTGTTTGCTGTATTTGAAATAACATTTTAAACATGGATATTTTCTATCTTGCAATGTTTGGGGTTTGATTCTCATTTTAAGGATATGCAGGACGTGTTAACCTCCACTCCAGCTAAAATAAAAAGCTTTGGTCTGTCTCATGGCATTTTTTAATCCTTAATATGCAATTCCTCTATGGAAATAGATTATGTCAGGAGGGAATACACACAGTTATCAGAGCAAGTCCCTTTACATAATAACTCCAAATAATGAATGAATCCCATTCAGAAATACTGCAATTTAGAACCTCTTTGCGTTTTTTCTAAACTCCCTCATAAACATTTTCCTCTTAGAACTGTAGATGGTTTCAGCATTGATACATTCAGTCCAGTTTCACTAACAGTAAAAGATTGTTTATAGCTCCTGAGAAAATGCAGTGTAATGCTCTTGCAAAAAAANTTCCCGGACAGCAGAATCTCCATCATGTGATGCTTCATATCATAAACAGGACGAGCAGCTGTCAGCTTCTTCCCTGACCGCCTCGAGCATCTCAGTAATGTACACAATCACCACTTGCTCACAAAGGTCACAAATGTCACAGGGCAATGCAAGTTGTGGCTCTCAAATTGGATAGTTTACAGAAGTTATGAAGTCTGAACATAACAACAACAAGATTCCATTTATAGAGCGCCTTTCACGTCGGGAGGACGTCCCAAGGCGCTGGACAGTTGGGTCAGGATTAATGCTTTAATAATAGCATTAAAGTATAAAAATAAATTACGAGTATTTGCTTAGACATTTACATCCAGCTAAAACTAGGCACAATTTTCCTTTTGTTATTATTGTATGCATTTAAGTTTTCCAGAATTAACCTAGAATTAACCTATCCTGTGAAACATATCCTGTGAAGCACTTTGAGACGTCTTCCCAACAACAAAATCAACAATTTGTATTTATATAGTGCTTAAGTGCTAGAGAGTACTTAACAGCAGTGTGGTTTAACCGTAAGCCAAAAGGGGATGAGAGGGTGACTGAAAGCACAGTCAAAGAGCGAAGTCTTCAGGTGTGATTTAAAGACAGGCAGAAAGGAGGCAAGGTTGAGGGATTGAGGCAAGGAGCTCCAGAGATTCGGGACATCGTGGCTAAAAACACGGCCTCCAATTGTTGAGCGGAGGGAGCGAAGGCAGCAAGATGTGGAGTGAAAGTATAATTTTTAGTATCATTATCGTGCACAGCTCGGCCAGTTTATGGGGAATGAGGTAATCTGCCTGAGACAGCACACCACTCTGGCTTTGGAAAAGTGGCAACTTGAGAAGTTGCTGCTCCACATTTTAGAAATCTATTGAGAATTATACAATTTGCAAAATATGTGTCTACAAAGACCAAATAGTGAGTTATTGTGACAATTATCATCCACATTCGGTGCTGATGCCACGTTGATGCTTTCAACATATAACTAGGCCACTTAGCTCACCCCGGCCACTTCTCAGTTTTGTTAGATTTGGGCAGTTCTTCATCTATTATTCTCAATTCTATATCCACAAATATATAAACACACAAGGGTCTTAGCATCAATCCCTAGGGGACACTACTTGTCAACACCCATTAATCAGACAACATTTCTTTTATCCCAACTTTATTCCTTTCACCTCCCAAACAAATACTATGTTATTATTTGAATAATAATCCAAAAATAAAATACAACAAGAGATCCACAAGAGTCAACCTGAAATTCCAAATCAGACCCCCCCTCTCCCCCCAGCAGGGATAGTCCCCTCGGTGTATTAATTGTCTCAATATTAATAATAAGAGAGACATCAATCGGTAAGTTAAACACTCAAGAATAAACAATGGTCAAAAAATGTAGGTCTGCATGGATTTAGAAATACTGTAATTACATTTCAACAACAACAACTTGAATTTATATAGCACCTATCATGTCGAGAGGGAGTCCCAGGGTGCTGCACAGTTGCGGGTTTGCATCCAAACTGGGGGTTGGATTCGGGAGAGTTGGGGGGCAAGGGGAATGGGGAGGAAAGAGGATGACTGAGGGCACGGTCAAGAAGGAAGATCTTGAGACAGACCTTGAAGGAGGAGAGGGGCAAGGTGAAAGGTCTCCGGGACGGTGTTCCAGAGGATGGGGGCAGAAAGGCTGATAATGTGGCAGGTGGGTGGGAGACATGAAGCACACCTATGCCTGCTTAATGGAGGGAGAAGGCAGGCTGGTAGGCTTTTACAAGGTTACAGAAATAGGATGGGGTAAGATTGTGGAGGGATTTAAAATGAGCATAAGTGGAGTTGGATACGGATGGGGTAATAGGCTGCGGAGGGTAGAGTTGGGAAGTTCAGAGAGCAGACAATTGATTTAGTCAAGCCTGGTACTGAAACAAATTTCCAAAACCTGTTGGGATTATTCAAGAAAGCAAGTGAATTACAGAACAATTAACTATTCACGGGAATCCTATATTATAGTGTACATGGCTTATTATGAAGCAAATGATAATCTGCTGCATTCGCTACAAAATACACAATATTTACTGTACAGTAAATCCTGTGAAGCACTTTTGAGTCTTCCTGACTTGATTATGATGTATAGTAAAAAATTCACATGCAAAGTTTTTTGAAGCTGGTTGAGGTTAATGGAATTAATTGTAATGCTAGGCAGCTGGACTGTAAACTGCAATAGCAATAAAAAGCATAAATGAAATGGGCTGTTTGGAGTTAATGGTTTGAGATGTTTATTATGAGTTCCACGTTGTTCACAGTATTCATAAATATGAAAGAGGGCATGTTATGTTACAACAATAAAAAGCAGGTTAATTATATCCATGTATTGTTTAAGACTATGTTGCTCATTGCTTAAGGAACTTATAAAGCACAGGTGAATGGAACACAGAAGATGAGTGAATACGTGCCTTAAAAGGGGAAAGTGGGAAACTGGATGTGATATAGCTGTGTTGAATACAAAAGTAAGGAGACAATGATGAATTTGTCAGGGTGTTGGTTTGGCCACAGTAGGGTATTGTGTGCAGTTTGGGTATCCCATTATAGAAAATATCACAGCCATAGTGGGTGCAATATAGATTCACAAGGGAGCGAGTGTGTGGGACACCAGCAGAGCCTGGTCAGGTATTGCAATGTTCCTAAAGACATACAAGTGAGAGAATGATATTTTAACCCTTTCCAGAAGTTTTTTACTGCTCATATTTTCCCTTTGCCTTAAGATATTTACTCTTGCTAGTTTTACAGTTACTGACCTACCTCACCAAGTGGCCTTTCTTTACACGTTGACAGTGAATGAAGGGCATCACAATCAAACCTGATCATGTTCTCAACTGCATCCAAACACTCACATCCACCTTCCAGCCGGGCTCACTGCATATTTATGAGGTGCAAGAAACCAGACTGTTTTTTCTCATTCATAACCAAAAGGCAGTGAGACCATTTGCTATATCCGAGCACGAATCAGCTAAACCAGAGCAATACAAATACAAACTTGCATTTGCATAGTGCCTTTCACGTCATGAGGCACTGGACAGTCAGGGATTTGGACCCGAGCTGTGGGTCAGGATCGGGGAGGGTGGAGGGCAGGGAGGATAGGAGGCTGGCCGAAGGCTCGGACGAAGATGATGGTTTTGAGATACGCCTTGAAGGAGGCAAGGGAGGGAGCATGTCGAAGGGAATGTGGAATGGAGTTCCAAAGAGTAGGGGCAGAAAGGCTGAAGGCCCGATCGCCGCTGGTGGAGTGCGTCGGGCTGGGGACTCCTATATTATAGTGTACATGGCTTATTATGAAGCAAATGATAATCTGCTGGTGGAGTGCGTCGGGCTGGGGACTCCTATATTATAGTGTACATGGCTTATTATGAAGCAAATGATAATCTGCTGCATTCGCTACAAAATACACAATCACAGCCTGCTTAGTGGAGGGAGCGGACAGGTTGATATGGGGTCGGCAGATCGCACAGGTAGGAAGGAGCAAGGCCGTGGAGGGTCTTGAATGCATGGGTGAGAATTTTGAACTCTATCCTCTGGGGGATGGGGAGCCAGTGGAGCCAGCCGAGGGTGGGGTTGATAGGGTCACAGTGTGGGAGATGACACGAGCTGCAGAGTTCTGGATGATCTGCAGCTTGTGGAGGAGAGAGTTGGCAAGGCCGACAAGCAGGGAGTTGGCATAGTCGAGTCTAGATGTGATGAATACGTGGATCAGGATTTTGGTGGCCTGAGCGTTGAGGCAGCAGTGGAGCCAGACAATGTTG